TAACGGTTTAGGGCTTAGGGTTTAGGGTTTAGGGTTTAGGGTTTAGGGTTTAGTAGAAGACCAGTCCTGATAGTAACGGTTTAGGGTTTAGGGTTTAGGGTTTAGGGTTTAGGGTTTTGTAGAAGCCCAGTCCTGATAGTAGTCAGAATAAGGATCGTAATAGTAGTAATAGCAATAACGATACATAAAAACCAGAGCAATAATAAGACAAACGATGACGGCAAGAAGAACAAAAAGTGCAACAATGATGCTGGTCATAACGATAAGGAAGAACGATGAAGCGTGCAAGTTATGGCAACACTAATAATGATTGCCGATATGCCAGCGATGAAGAATGTTATAGTCGTAAAGAGAACCTATTTCGTGGAAGCCGGGTGGCTGTCTGCAAGTGGCTCAGGATTATACGTCACATTGGCAAGAGTGTAGACAAAGCAACAGGCGACCGACAATGCGGAACAAAGGTAGTGAAACTCTCAGTCGTAGAGGTTTAGTCGTGGTTTGGAGTTTGGGACTTGGGTTCAGGGCTTCCGGGTTTCGGGCTTCAGGTTAGGGTTTAAGGGCATGGAAGCCCAGATATACTGACATTCCCAGCAGCCTTGAAGATAGAGGCCCTACAATGGTACATCAGCCTAAACAATGCATATGTATATATGTATGTATATATGTATGTACGTACGTATGAATGTATGTATATAATATATGCATGTGTGTGTATGTGAATGTGCATGTGCATGTGCATTTGTATGTGTATGCGTGTGTTTGTGTATCTCTCTCTCCCTTCATTGATGATGATGCAACACAAGTCTTCGACGGGGTCTTTACTGATCTCTAGGCTGATCTCTCATGACATACCTTGACACTCATAACCAAGCAGTCATGATACCCTACGGTATGGGTTGCGGAAAGTCTAAACCTCAAGCCCGAACACATCCTGCAAAAGCCTAAACCCAAAATCGGATGCCCTTCCAAAAGCCCACACCCCTACCCTAAACCCTGAACACACCCATCAACATGCCAAACCCAAAGCCCAGGTTCTAAACCCCAAACCCGGGACCCGAGTATAGAACCCTTATGTACCCCTTTTTTTGGTGTCCTTCTAAAAAAACCCTATGGCTAGTCTAACAATGACAGAAAGCCAACCAACCCCTCGCCACCCCCTCCAACCCGCTCCTCCGCGCTCCTCGCTGAGAGGCTTCCGGAGCCCGTCACCTGCTCGACTCCGTCATCGGGGAGAGTCCAACAATTTTAGGGCTTCGGGAGTTTCTGCACCCAATCCTGACAAACCGTTGTACAAAAAAACCGAAGACAGAGCCGACTTTTGCTAGGTTGTAGTCTATAAATAGGTACCTCTATAGGAACCATAAGGGAAATGTCACAGCTTCCCAAAGTGCCACCTAGATTGCTCTTCCAAGTCTTGAAGGCCCCTGCAAACCCGAACCCCGCGCTTGAAGCTGCTCGGCCTTTGAAGTCCTGCAAGGCCTTCCAGTCCTCGCAAGCTTAGGGTTTAGGGTTTAGGGTTCGGCTTGCAACGCTTCCGGGCGGCTTGGGAGCCTCCTGTTTTGTTTGAGAGGGGGAAGGGGGGAGGCGGGGGTATTGAGCAGGTACGTGTGTGTTCACAAGCAGCCTTAATCATCGGAGCAGGTTTGGGGTATAAGATACAAAAAGGAGATGTTGGTCGCTAGTTAAACTGAATACATAGATCCACATATGTATTCAGCAAGAGCAGCAACAACTATTTACGAATTAATAGCAACGACAACCATATTAATAACATGAAACATCTTAAACATGATCATCATTCATAACCAATAATCAGAATCATGGTGGTAATCATCGTGATAATAACACTCATGACGGATGAGAATACAAGGCTATAGTACCAAAATGAGAACACTAACAACAACAATAACAATAAAAACAATCATCGTAATCACAAAAATATGGCCGCAGTACTACTGGCAAATAACGACCAGCATTAGTCCTGGTGATTCGTACACAGTAGTTCGTGGTTAGTCATCAGTCCTTGGTCATAGCAACCGTCACCGTAAAAACTAGCAATAATAGCAATAGTACTAGAATCGACATAGTACTCGCCCCTAAACCCTAAACCCTA